TGTCAGTTCCCTGACAGCTCCAGGACACGCTGATCGGGACAGAAGAGTTTCTCTCTCCTGATCAGTGGTGTTCCCTGCAGTACACAACTCCGCCCCCTAGTAAAACACTCCCCTCACACAGTTAACCCTTTCCCTGAAAAATAAACTTAACCCCTTCCTCCCCAGTGCCATTAGTACAGTGTCAGTGTTTTTTGTTTTGCACTGATCACTGTATTGGTGTCACTGGGGATGTCAGTGACCCCAAGTCAGTACCCCCCAATGTCAGAATGTCCGCCGCAGTCCCACAATAAGTCGTGATCGCCGCCATATAAGTCGCTGATCGCCGCCATAAGTCGCTGATCGCCGCCATAAGTCACTGATCGCCGCCATAAGTCACTGATCGCCGCCATTAGTTGCTTAGTATGATCGCCGCCATTATTAGTATAAAAAAAAAAACGTAAAAATCCCAGTATCTTTCTCACCATTTGTAAACGCTATAACTTTCACGTAAACCAATTAATTTACACGTATTGGGGTTTTTTTTTTTTTTTTTTAGCAAAGACATGTCGCAGAATGCATTTTGGCAGAAATTTATGACTAAATCCATGCAGGACTTACCTGGGAATGCAATGCCGGCATTATTGACCAGCACATCCAGCCCCCCGTACTTGTCCTTCATGAAGTCCCGCAGAGCCCGGATGCTGTTCAGGTCATTGATGTCCAGCTGATGGAAGAGTGCAGACAATCCTTCCTTTTCCTTCAGATCCTGAACAGCTTCTTCTCCAAAATTATTGTTCCTGGCTGTCAGATAGACATCCCCCTCGAACTGCTTACACAGAGCTCTGACTATGGCCAGGCCTATCCCTTTATTGCCTCCTGTGACCACTGCCACCCGCACTCCAGACATATCAGCAGTCAATGGGTGCAGTCCTTAAGGCGGTATATAGTCTATGACAATGTGATATCTTCTGCCAGGGGCTGATACTGGCAGAGAAGCTCTATGATTGCCCAGCTCCACCCAGCAAAACAATTATGCACTCAGCCAAAAAATAGATGGGCGTCTGCAAACGGCTTCTGTCTCTGTTAGCATTCTGTTTCTGTCATCTAGTGGTAACAAGTAGAACTACTGGAAGTCATTGAGAGAACATAGTTACATAGTTAGTCTGGCTGAAAAAAAGACAAAAGTCCATCCAGTTCAACCATAAAAAAAAAAAAATAATCCTATACCCACAGTTGATCCAGAGGTAGGCAAAAACACCCAGCAAAGCATGATCCAATTTGCTCCTGCAAAAATTCCTTCCTGATCCCCCGACACTGGTGAAAAAAAACACATTATGCCAGCCCCCTGGTTAACTCCACCTCCAACTGTCATGCTTTAGTTTTGTGAGCAAGAAGTATAGAAGGCAAACAACAGAGGGATATGCCCCTCAGAAACAAAATTTTAGAGTAAATACAAATATCTTATATTCTTTATCATCCATTGAGAGACACAGAAAGTAGACTATCTTCTACTAATGGGTTGTCCAAAATGAGGGGCATGAAACAGAAACAAAGAGACCCAGCAACATAGAAATCAGACCACGCATAGTATGGCAGAAACCAACATTGGAAAGGAATGCTGGATGGATAAAGGCCAACCTAAAGAGAGGCCATGACTAAGGAGGGGACACGGGAGACCGAACGTGTGTTACAGACCATTACTGAAATCATAAGGTGGGCAAAAAACTATACCTAGACCTAGAGCAATGGACCTAAAAGGCTAAGTTCACTTTTATGTTTTCTACATTCCAGCTGCCCTATGTACTGTACTAATTTACCATTAATGTACCTCTGTTGCAGAAAAATGAAAGCTACCTTTGATTTTGAGAACAAGGCCTTACCTTAGCCCTTGCTGAATTTGTTAGAGAGCTTCATCACTTGCTGATATGTAGAGTTAGGACAGAAAAACCAGCAAACCCTGGTTCACACAGAAGACTGCGACTTAGAAATTGTGCGACTTCACTTGTACAGCACTACCCCCTTAGGAGTTGCTGAGCATTTGGGTCCCCGTATAGTCCTGCACAGCCAGGCAACATGCATTTTCATGAACTTGCATCAAGGAGTCAGTAACCAGTCCTTGAGCTTGTTTTTTTTGTTTCTATTAAAAGGTGTTAATAATTTGGATGGGGTAAGGGATGTATGGGATGCCAATAGAACAGAGAAACAGAGGACAACCTCCTGGAACTATTTAAAAGTCGTCAAAGCAACACAGTCTCTTTTGAAGAGCTAGCCAGCATCTCCTGTAGTACCACAGCAGACCCCAGATAAATCCTCTTCCTTACCCAGTTGTCTGGAGGAATCTCCGAGTAGGGGATCCGGAGTCTGCCATAAATCAAGTGAAACAGTCCTGGGTGGCAGGCTAATCCAGCTCCCCACTAAGAGTGCCTCCTTCCCCTTTCTGGCCCAGGGGGGTGCAGGTTTACTCACTCAGTCCTTCTCCTGTGCAGCTTGTGGGTTAGTGGCTGCTATCAGGCCTTCTAGCTGGGCCGCTCCTTCCCTGTTACACAGGTGGTCCTTGCTCTGGGGGCCGGTGAAGGTCTGAGCTTTCCTTCTTCCAAGCTCCATCACCTGTAGGTGAGCCCCTCTCCATCCTGGCCCCCTCCCAGGGTTCTGCCTTCAGCCTCACATCCTCTCTGCCTTCCACCTGAACGCTCCTGCTGCTGAGCAGGCTCTCTCACTTTTAAGGGCTGTCCTGGCCCCTTGCTAAGCCTCCTGTTGGGGATTGGCCAGGATCCCTCAAAAGTACAGATCAGCCACTCCCCAGATCCACCCACTGCTTCTAGACTTTTCTCCAAAGTTCTAGAGCAGGGGGAAATTCCAGAGGGCTGGTCTGCAGAGCCTCTAAGCTATGACCATAATTTGACCCCTGCTAGCTATCACACTCAGGCTGCTATTCAGCCCACTCAGCTCACTAACAAAAAGGAGTCTAGCTCCCCAAAGCTGACTAGAAGGGTGCTACACTTGGAATCTCAGAAATGTCAAAGTTGCATGTCAATGTGACTTCAGGTGCAACTTTGCAGATATCTGTGTGACTTAATGCACAGATATCTATGCAAGTTGCACCTGAAATCGGGAAAAGTACTGCAGGAACTACTTTTCAAATCTGTAAAATCACACCGATTAGAACTTTTTAAAAATGTTTTTGTCTCTTTTTTCACCCAGAGATCTGGACAGTAACACATCTCCTAATTTAGAGCACCCATCACTCCAGCTAACACTTTCTAAGCAGTTACAGCAACAGTTTTGTTTTCCTTTTTGGATAAAGGTTTTACATAAACAAATAAAAGCTCATTGTAAGCACCCCTCAGTGTTAATTGGTTTACCTCAACCCTCCAACTACTACATCTGCAGGACAGCTTGTTTTGTTGAAAAACAACAGATTTACTGGCTGGTTCACCAGGTGAAAATTGGTAAGCTGCAATACAATAAATGTTTGCTTTTGGGTTTAAGGCTGGCCATACACTATACAATTTTCTACCCAATTTCCTTTAGAGTTACTTCAACTGTGTAGTGCAGGGGCCTGTCTAATTGGATACAACAAAGTGTTGTTTGAGTTTGACCTCCTATTATATGGTTTTTGGTAAATCTAAAGCAAAAATCTCAAGAAAATTGTATAATCTATGGCCAGCCTAATACTGCTTAATTACATTGTATGTCACATTTATCCCTGCCCAATGATATTCATCCCTTCTATTCATGGGGGGGGGGGGTTATTCACTAAAACTGGTGCAGCTGTGCATGGCAGCCGTACGCTATACTATTTTCTGTTCAATTTCCTTTAGATTTATCTTCAACTGTGTAGTGCAACAGCCCGCCTAATTGGATACAATTGAAAGTGTTGTTAAGGTTTGACCTCCTATTATATGGTTTTTGGTAAATCTAAAGAAAATTGTATAATGTATGGCCAGCCTAACTTCAGCTTGTTCAATTAAGCCACTTGACAATAAGGCTCCATGCACTCGGGACATTTTGATAACACTGGTAACCTTAGCTGTGTAAAGTCATGTTAAAAACGTGAGTTTTCCAGCTTCTTTTAGCGTTTTTGCATTAGCATTTGGTGGTGTTTTGCCGTGTTTGCATTTTCATTTCGTTTGCATTAGCCGCGTTTTTCAGCATTAGAGCGTTTTTGCAGCTAAAAAAAAACTCCTCTAGAAACCCACTAGTCCTGGGGTTTCTTTTCCAGCCAAAAAACCGTTGATTCCAGTCTATGTGTGTATGGACACATAGGAGAACACGCCGGGGATGGACACACATAGGAGAACACGCCGGGGATGGACACACATAGGAGAACACGCCGGGGATGGACACACATAGGAGAACACGCCGGGGATGGACACACAATAGGAGAACACGCCGGGGATGGACACACATATGGAGAACACGCCGGGGATGGACACACATAGGAGGAGAACACGCCGGGGATGGACACACATAGGAGAACACGCCGGGGGGACACACGTAGGAGAACACGCCGGGGATGGACACACGTAGGAGAACACGCCGGGGATGGACACGTAGGAGAACACGCCGGGGGATGACGTAGGACACGTAGGAGAACACGCCGGGGATGGACACGTAGGAGAACACGCCGGGGATGGACACGTAGGAGAACATGCGGGGATGGGTTTATGCTGGGGGGTTTACTGGATGTAGAAGGAAATTTCTATAGTCAAAAGCAGCCACTGTAAGAACGTCACTGTAACAACCTGGAAGCTGATTGGTTTCCAAGCAGAGCTGCACCATACTCTCTGGTTTTAGTAAATCCCCCCAGGGGCGGACTGACAACTCATGGGGCCCCCGGGCAATAGGGGATCATGGGGCCCCCGTGTCCTTGCCCAAACTCCAAAAAGCCTATGAAAAAGGTACCAGGGCATCTCATGGGGCCCCCTACTGACCCCGGGCCCTCGGGCAGTGCCTGAGTTTCCAAATGGTCAGTCCGCCCCTGAATCCCCCCCATGGTGTCAGATCCATGCAGGACTCACCTTTGAATGCAATGCCGGCATTATTGATCAGCACATCCAGCCCTCCGTACTTGTCCTTCATGAAGTCCCGCAGAGCCCGGATGCTGTTCAGGTCATTGATGTCCAGCTGGTGGAATAACGGGGACAATCCTTCCTTCTCCTTCAGCTCCTGCACAGCTTTTGCTCCCAGCTGAGTGTTCCTGGCTGTCAGATAGACATCCCCCTGGAACTGCTTACACAGAGCTCTGACTATGGCCAGGCCTATCCCTTTATTGCCTCCTGTGACCACTGCCACCCGCACTCCAGACATACTGACAGTCACTGGGTGTGCAAGAGATGCTAGCTTCTGCCAGGGGCTGATGTTGGAGGGGAACCTCTGATTGCTTAGCTCCTCCCAGCAGAACAAGCATGCACCCAGCCAGACACTAGAGGCAGGCCTGCACCTGGCAGCTTCTGTCCCCCAATAGCAGCTTGCTCCTGCCATCTAGTGGAGACAAAGAGAACTGCTACACGTCATGGCAAGGACCAGTTTAAGGCTGGCCATACACTATACAATTTTCTGACAATTTTCTGTCCAATTTCTTCCTAATTTCTTTTAGATTTACCTTCAACTATGTAGTGCAAGTGTTTGGCTAACTGGATACAATTGAAAGTGTCGTTTAGATTTATTATTATTATTTATTTCAGGTACTTATATAGCGCCATCAATTTTCTCAGCGCTTTACATATATATTGTACATTCACATCAGTCCCTAACCCTCAAGGGGCGTAAAATCTAAGGTACCTAACTCTAAAACCGATCTCTTCAGGGAAGCCTATCCCGCCCTCTGCTAATACTGGAATCCTCTACTCTTCCCCCACAGTTATTACCTTTTGTACCACTAACCCCTCCCTCCTAGATTGTAAGCTCCAAGGATCAGGCCCTCAAATCCCTCTTGTATTGAACTGTATTGTTGGTGTATTGTCTCGTGTTATTTTGTAAAGTGCTGAGCAAAATGTTGGCGCTATATAAATCCTGTATAATAATAACTCACATTCATACATACACATACCAGGGCCAATATAGACAGGAGCCAATTAACCTACCAGCATGTCTTTGGAGTACCCAGAGGAAACCCACACAGGCACAGGGAGAACATGCAAACTCCAGGCAGGTGGTGCCGTGGCTGGGATTTGAACCGATGACCCTAGTACTGCCAGGCGGAAGTGCTAACCGCTTAGCCACTGTGCTGCCCATAGGTTTGCCCTCATATTATATTTTTTTTTTTTGGTAAATCCAAAGCAAAAATCTCAAGAAAATTGTATAATGTATGGTTAGCCTAAATCTACTGCAAGATGAAAATATACCATTTACATTTGTTTCGTAGCGATGCATTCCCCCACCCCCCCCCCCCGGCTTTTCTGTTGAAACCAATGGAAACACATCAAAACGCATGTCAACAAACATTATTTTGTGCTGTTGCTTGTTTTCAATGAGCATTGCAATGCACTGTATTTGATGTTAACAGAAGTCATAATGCGCATTGACGTGCGTCATGATACATTAAACTTTACGTGTGTTGTGACATGTAGCTGTGTATCCTGTTATGTGTTGAGATGCGTTTTTGGTATGTCTTGTATGATTTCAATGGAAAATGGCATCATGCAAAGATGTGATTCAGCCTAAGGGTCCTTTCTCACGGGCAGTCCGTTTTTTTCACCAGTTTAGTCATGTTTTTTTCCAAGAAAAGACAGATCAGTTCACATCAGTTTTTTCATCCATTTTTCATCCGTTTTTTTACATATGTCTTGATGTGTTTCCATTGGTGTCAACAGAAAAGCCATTGGGGAGGGAATGCATAGCTACAAATCCAATGTAAGTGGAATTTTTTCATCTTGCAGTAGTTTTAAACCAGTCCTTGCCATGACTTCTAGTAATGCAAAAACGAACCGCATGTCCGTTTACATCCATTTTTCGTACATTCACTTGCATCCGTTTTTCGGCCATTCTTTTCTTCTTTTTTTTTCATGGAAGAACAATAGGGTTTTCTTCCATTCAAAAAAACGGATGTTAATGGATACGGACATTAATGGATGTAAACAGATGGTCATCCGTTTACATCCGCTAGTCCATAGAAATACAAGGGTGTCCATATTTCATCCATAAACGGACAGATGGAAAATGGACATACGGAACGCCCGCGTGAAAGGGGCCCTAGACTAGTTTCACACCTCTGCAATGTGACAATCAAGACGCACTGATGTGCACTTTACATGCATGACTGTGTGTTGCATTAAGGCAACCCATATATTTGAATGGGCTGCCCAACGCAGAGAAATATCACCAAAGAAGTTCATGTACTTAAAAAATGAGCACACCACAATGCATGGAATACATTTTGGGGTGCTGAAACGCAAGGTGCAGTGGGGGTGCCATTAGAAATGAATGTCACCGCAGCACACCTACAATTAAAGCATGCATTTTTACATAGCTCCTAACTGTCCCAGATTTCGAGGGAATGTCCCTCATTTGGAACAAAATTCTGCCTTCCTCCTCATTTGTCCCTCATTTGGTCTGATCTATATATGAGGGGTCTTCAAGTCATACCAGGACTTTTGAGTTTATATAATTAAAATAACAAATTGCAAGGAGTGTAAACTGCATTTATTTTTCAACATACTCCCCTTCTACAGTTATACACTTATCCCAGTTTTTAAAAGAGAAGTATCCCCCCCCCATTATACTTACGTAGGTGGATGAAGCATCAGTCCAGTGCTTCTTCTGTCCCCCCCGGCAGCTCTAAGGATCACATGACCCCTAATCCTTGAGTTCTCCTCTCCGCTCTGAGAAGACAATGGGACTATCATTCAATGGGGACACTAGTTCCAGTGAAAACTAGGAATTCCCTTACTTTTACGGATTTTTCTCTCACTTCCTGTTGTGGTCATGGGACAGGAAGTGAAGGGAATTGTCATCAGTGGGACAGAGATGGCAAAAAAAAAAAAGAAATTGACAGGGGTTATGACCCTCCCTATCCAAAATAAAAAATAAAGTTTTGCCATTAGTTGTACTTTAAAATAGATATAGAAACTAAATAAGCGAACTTGCAAATTAAAGCCGAGCTCTAGTTCCATCTGCCTTCCCTCTCTGCCAATCCCTCCACTGGCTTCCCATTGCCCAACGAATAAAATTCAAAACATTAACAATAAGATATAAAACCATTTATAACTCTGCCCCAAATTACATCACCAATCTTGTCTCCAAATATCACCCAAACCATCCTCTCTGCTCCTTCCACAACCTCCTGCTCTCTAGCTCCCTTGTCTCCTCCTCCCATGCTTGTCTCCAGGACTTCTCCAGAGCCTTCCCCATCCTCTGGAACTCTCTACCACAATCTATCCGACTATCGCCTACTCTGCCCACTTTTAGGCAATCTCTGAAAACATATCTCTTCAGGGAAGCCTATCCCACCTTCAGCTAATAATGGAATCTTCTATTCCTTCTACCAGTCCATCCCCCACAGTTATTACCTTTTATACCACCAACCCCTCCCTCTTAGATTGTAAGCTCCCAGGATCAGGCCCTCCTAACCCTCTTGTATTGAACTGTATTGTTGCTGTATTGTCTCTCTTTATATTGTAAAGCGCTGAGCAAACTGTTGGTGCTGTATAAATCCTGTATAATAATAATAATAATAATCTGCAAAAAACAGACAAAAACTGTAGCTGCTGACTTTTAAAAAAACAGCCACTCACCTGTCCCACCAACCAGCAGTGTGTTTACAGCAGCCAGGTTCACCGGCTTCCCCTCTCCCTCCCACCGACATCTTAAGTGTGACAGTTTGCAGCTTCACCAGCTTCACAGCCGGGCGCCCAATGTGGGGGGGAGACAACTTCCGCTTCCTATCACCTAGGAGGTTGGTACCTTGGGATACCCCCCCCCCCGCTCCCCAATTCTTCACAGGTCGCAATTGAAAGAGCCAGGGACCTTAAAGCATAACTTCCCCTTTGGGTTGGAGCTCCACTTTAAGTCCCCATTCACACGTTTTGTATCTTACAGGTCTATTCTGGTGTAAATGAGGTACATGAGTTAATTTTGAAGCAGATTTTTGTCCCTTTGACTTCAATGGCAGCTTGCAAAAAAAAAAAAAAAAAAAACCTGTTATGCATATTTTTCAGATGCTCCCATAATATTCAGATAGACAAAAATGTGCTCTACTGCTAATTACTTGGGGGACTGGAAACTGGGGCTCTGGCCCGCATGCCTTTAGGCCAGAACAATAATCTATGGATACAATGAAGCTGGCTACCCGGAGCAGGGGCGGACTGACAACTCATGGGGCCCCCGGGCAATAGGGGATCATGGGGCCCCTGTGTCTTTGCCCAAACTCAAAAAAGCCTATGAAAAAGGTACCAGGGGCATCTCATGGGGTCCCCTACTGACCCCGGGCCCTCGGGCAGTGCCCGAGTTTCCAAATGGTCAGTCCGCCCCTGACCCAGAGTCATCTATCGCAACGCGTTTCAGTGTGTCATCCATTGCATTGCATTTCAGCCAGAGCCTTACTCATAGCATGCTGTAGCAAGCATTGCAGAATACTGTACATAACAATAGTCGAAGCTGCACATTTGTATCAGTATTATATTTGTTGTTGTTCTATTTCAATTGCAGGTCAATGAGAGAAAAGCTCCGGGAAAATGGCCGCCTCCTTCACTGAGGACACTCTGAGTAGAAGCAGAAGTTTGGCGTTGTTTCTAGTGTCAGTGATGTCATGACTGAGCAACCAATAGATAGCGGCGCTTAGAGCGGCAAACCGGAAGTGGAAGTGTGTCTCCCACGTGTGGTCTTCACTCTGTCCTGTGCATACAGAGAAGTGAATGTATTTACAGCAGGACGCCGTACTGTGGCCGGGCGTGAGCCCTCTCCACCCACCATCACAGGGGACATAGCATGTCTAAGAGGTACACGATGCATGCTTGAGGGGGTTTTGCTTTTTAAACGGATAACCAAGTTAATAGCAGCTGTCATGCGCATTACCAATGAACCCTTTCGTTGCCAGAGCAAGTTTTGCATTTCTTGCACACATGGGCTAAAAGTCTAGAAGATGCAGAATTCCAGTAAAAACACGTGTGAATTTTAGGGTTAACAAATGCAATAAAATTCCAAATTTTTAGTAAAATATAAAAGACGAGGTTGTGCCGAGTAAATAGATACCCAACATGCTAAACCTTAGATTTGTGTGCGCCCATGAAATGGTGACAACCTTCAGTACCCTATATTTACTACAGGGGGCGCTTCAAAAGCCCCCTATAGGTCATCAGTTTAGTGTTACGGAGGAGGTCTGGTGCCAGAAATTATGCTCTCACTCCGGCATATGCAGCGATATGTAACATGGATCGCAAATTATGTTTTAACGTGTAGGCATCCAGATGTGTGCGTTTATGTTCCTATGTGCGTTTATGTGGTGGGCCTCAAAAAACATTTTTTTTGGGGGGGGGGGGGGGCTGTTATGTGCTTGGGTCTAACTTTATTCTTTTGCAATAGAAAAAATTTACTTAACTTTTTTTTTCATCACACAGTCCCCTACGTGATGATTTTTAAGTGACAGGTTCTCTAAAAGATTCCCAATGTCTCCTCTAGGCTCCATTCAATGTATTGCAATGCAGACCGGCTGTGCTAACTGAGGAAGCGGCAGCGATGACCCAGAATTGACGTCACACACGTCGCCTTCCAGGTCTCAGAAAGAAAGGGGAGGAGAATAGACTCTCCTCTTCATCCGCTGTCACCCAATATGGCGCTCCCCGGGCCCACAAATGGGCAAGAGGGACCCGGATACATGGCGAAAGCATGCGCGCCAGGGTTGGTTACCGGGGGGCTGTGGAAGCGATTGGGCGGCAGCGTAGCTGCATGTCTGCTTCCATCCGACATGCAGGAGTCTGCCCGTCAGTTTTATAAACAATCCTGATGGCTGTAACCACCAGATTGTGTATGAACCCCTCCCCCCGCTGTCAGATCTGTACATTGTACAGACCGGGCAGCGAAAGGGTTAAACAACATACCTTACACTTACCATATACAAACATCAAATACTTTTACGTGAAAAATAAAATAGTGTTTTGAATAAGAGTGGCTATGCAAACAAGGGCCCCCAATAGGGGCTCTGAAAAAAAAAAAGAATTCCCACAAACGTTGTCACCCTTTTGCTGCCAGTTCTCTTTTTGCTTTTTTTTTGCACACATCCTAGGCCTGAAGATTAAAGCAGAGTTCCACCCAAAAGGGGAAGTTCCGCTTTACAGATTGGTCCCCCACTCCCCATTAAGGATTGGCACCTGTGGGGGTAAGGGGGTACCCGAATTTGACAGGTACCTGCTCCCACTTAAACTGTGATCGCCTAGGCGATCGGAAGCAGAAGGTGTCCTCTCTCCGTCCCTCCCCGTAGTGTTCTGGGACACGTGACAGGTCCCAGAAGACTACAGGACCATTCAGGAAGCTCAGCGCTTCTCACGCATGCACAGTGGGCACCCAGCTGTGAAGCCGCAAGCTGTCACAGCCGGGTGCCCACACTGAAGATGCCTGTGCCCAGGGAGAGAAGACGGCTGGTAAAAACGAGCTGCAGGGGACACACAGTCGGACCGAGAGACAGGTAAGTGTGTGTTTTTTTTAAAAGTCAGCAGATACAGTTTTTGTAGCTGCTGCCTTTTATTTTTTGACAGGGTGAGTGGAACTCCGCTTTAAGTACTACCCTCAAAGCATATATTTACTGAAAGCAGACACCCTAGAGAATACAATAGTGGTCGTTCCAATTTTAAAAGGCCCACAATAAGAGTGCATCAGTTTACGAAACTTAACATTTCAAAAATGCATTGAATTTTAGGGCACATAAACCCAATATATTACCTTATTTTTGGTAGAATAGAAAAGATGAGGTTGCGCTGGGTAAATAGATACCCAATATTAAAGCAGTGTTAAACCCAAAAGCAAACATTTGTTATATTTCAGCTTATCAATTCTTAGATGTGATTGCTGCATTAGTTTCATTTGTTTAGGTTTTTTTTTTCTTCCATTTTCATTTGGTGATCCAGACAGCAAGTCTGTTGTTTTTCACAAGCTCAAGCTTTCCAATAGAATATCAGTTTACAAGGATGAGATAAACCGCTTAACACTGGCAGGGGTGTGTACAATGATCAGCTTTTATTTATTCGTGCAAAATCTTTATCCCAAAAGGAAAAAAACTGTTTGCTGTAACTTATTATAAAGTGTGATCTGCAGTTTGGCTTCAATTTCTTATTGTAGCTAAATCTGTTAATACATTTAACACTCCTCTCCCGCAGGCTGACAAAGCTGCTGTCTGCTGTGCCTCCAGCGCTTATTCCTCCAGAGTTGTGTGTCACTAATGCAGGTCGTGTGTTAATGGCCAGATCACCAACTGAAAAGAGGGGAAAAAGCCAAAGAAAAGAAAACTGATGCAGCCACCACATCTAATGATTGATAAGCTGCAATATAATAGATTTTTGGGATTGGTTTAATATCTCTTTCAGCCTTAAAATTGCGTGCTTCCGTGAAGCAGCAACAAACTTCAGTACCCTATATTTTCCATAGGTAACAATTTAAAAGCCCCTACAGGTTATCAGTTTAGAGTTGGTCAAGCAGGTAAGCAACTCCAGTGTCTTCAGACTCTGCATTAAAAACCCTGCCTGTTGGCCAATTTGTTCTTTTTTTTCTTTAAATTTACACTTTAACTTGTACTGTAAACGTAAATAAAATATGTTCTGCATTTCAGGCTGGTCAGTGGTTCTTCTATGTCAAGTCTATACATCTACCCTGTAGAGTCGATATGAAGAAGAAAAAAGGGCGCACAGGCCGACGGAGGACACGGAAACGCATGGAAGTATCTGCAGGTAGAAGAGCAGCCTCTGTTTTGTTCCATAGAGTCATTCAAGCCAAAGATACTATAGTGGGAAGAGGAGAATTAAAGTGGCGTTCCACTCACGCTGTCAAAAAATAAAAGTCAGCAGCTACAAAAACTGTAGCTGGTGACGTTTAAAAAAAACACCCACTTACCTGTCCCTCGGTCCCGCAGTGTGTCCCCTGCAGCCCGTTTTACCGGCCGTCTTCTCTCCCTGTGCGCCCGCATCTTCAGTGTGGGCACCCGGCCAGGGGCGTACTGACAAATCATGGGGCCCCCGGGCAATAGGGGTCATGGGGTCGCTGTGTCCTTGCCCAAACTCAAAAAAGCCTATGAAAAAGGTACCAGGGGCATCTCATGGGGCCCCCTACTGACCCCGGGTCCTCGGGCAGTGCCCGAGTTTCCAAATGGTCCGTCCGCCCCTGCACCCGGCTGTGACAGCTTGCAGCCTCACAGCCGGGTACCCACTGTGCATGTGCGAGTAGCGCTGCGCTTCCTGAATGGTCCTGTAGTCTTCGCGTGTCCCAAAAGACTACGGGGAGGGAGGACACCTTCCACTTCCAATCGCCTAGGCCAGGGGTAGGCAACCTGCGGCTTTCTAGCTGTTGTGGAACTACATTTCCCATGAGACATTGCAAAATTGACAGTTACAGCTGTGACTTGCAGAGGCATGATGGAACTTGTAGTCCTGCAACAGCTGGAGAGCCGCAGGTTGCCTATCCCTGGCCTAGGCGATTGGAGCGGAAGTGAGAGAGGGTACCTGTCAAATTCGGGTACCTACTCCCCTGCCCCCCAAAGGTGCCGATCTTTAATGGGAACGTTTCCATTTTGGGTGGAGCTCCGCTTTAAGCAGAATGTCATCCAACATGCTATGTTTGGGCAGCTTATGCCTTCATAAGCTTGCCAGACCATTCCTACTATTTATATTGGCCTACCTTTCTGCAGATGCATGACCCATAGAGCTGATTCACATATATGCGGTGCGGATTGCACCTCAGGTTTCACAGCTTATTGATACAGTAGCTGTTCACAGGTTCACATCAGGTTTACATCATGTTCAGGACAGGATTAGCTCAGGCTTTTATCTTGTTCATACATATGCGGTTTAGGAATGGTTCCCATATAAGTCAATAGCCTGTAATCCGCATCTTTACTGGACCGCACTGCTCAGACATCGAACAGGACTCTTTTTAAAACTGCACTGAATCTTCACCGGCCATGCACCAGACATATGTGAACAGGCACCATATGAAGCAATGTTATTTCACGTGTCATGCAGATTGGATGCGGTTCTAACCGCATCCAATCCACATATATGTGAACGGCACTCACAGATATTTAACGTTCAGCTTTTATCATCTCTTGGCTAAAAAAGTTTGCATATGCTCATTTGGCATTAATGCTGAGTACCGGGAAAAGATCAAAACTACCCTTGTGGTGGGGATTCCCCCTCCTTGCAAGGGTTAAATGCTTATTTTTGTTTAGGGCAGTTGTTGACAACTCATTTGCTAAAGGGGACCACAAATGCAGCCCTTGGCTTCACCAAAGGGCTGCTCATAAAGTTCAATATATGGTATGTAATGCCTAAGAGGACCGTGAGAAACTGCAGACCTTATAGAGGTCCTGAGGGTCAGAGAGTGTGGATATGATACATTTTTGGTTGGGGATAAATTGCAGACAATATGAAATTGGGAACTTGTCATGAGGCTAGTAGAGTTCAATGCTGGTATCCTAGTCAATGTTCCCACTACAGACTGCTGAGGTCTGAGGGCTGCACATCATATATCCAAGGGCCTCATGCAGCCCTTGGGTCTCAGATTGGGCACCAAGGGTCTAGGGTATCATTCAAGAGAAACTTTATTTACCTAATCCCTCACTCCCACAGGCTTCCACCTCTTTGCGTGACGTGTCCCTGAAAGACTCTTCTCTTTGGTGCTCCTTTCAGTTGCACTTTGACATTATCACATACAATGGAAAACCAGCATTACACCATTGTAAGACTTCAATCTGAAGGGTGCTGGCCATTTGTTTATGGGACTTGAGCTGCCAGGTGCTGCAAGAAGGCAGCCCATGTAAGTGTATGTGGATGCAGCGACTGCACGGACACATCTGATTATCCTAATATGACAGGTGTGTGGGTGAGTGGCCCAGGACGCACACATTTTGGGTTTGGGATCACCTACTCCTGCACACCTGTCAAATTAGGAGAAGCAGCTGTGTCCGTGTATCTGCTCTTTCTCCATACACTTACATGAGCTACCTGCATGCAGCGCCTGGTGGCTCAAGTCGCATAAACAAATGGCCTGTACATAGTCTGGCTGAAAAAAGACAAAAGTCCATCCAGTTCAACCATAAAATATAAAAAAAAAAAAATAAAAAGTTCTAATTCTATATCCACAGTTGATCAAGAGGCAAATAAAACCCAGCAAAGCATGATCTAATTTGCTCCTGCAAAAATTCCTTCCGGATCCCCCAAGAGGCTTTTATGGTGTATGGGCCTCACCGCCCATGTGAATGAGGCCTAAGTGAGGATGCCGAGGGTCTGCCCTCGGAAAGAGGAGAAGCTGGCTGCCAGGGGAGGGAAGTGAGAAGTAAAAGTGCTTGTCACTGGTACCCTAGACAAAAACAACAATTTATCCGTTCCAGTGTGGGAGAGCCCCACTATAAGGGTAGTTTGAAAATTTCCCAGGAGTTCAGCTTTAATGACTGCTCATCATCAGTTGTCATTGACGTAAATATGCAACGCTCCAAGAATCTGAAAAAATCCAACCCAGCCAAGCACAGATGTCACACCTTGCTGGTTTTGTGAATGGAACAGCAAAGCTTGAAGTGTTATTATTATAATACAGGATTTATATGGCACCAACAGTTTGTGCAGCGCACAGTTTGTGCAGTTACAATACAACTTAGTACAAGAGGAAACAGAGGGCCCGGCTCCTTAGAGCTTACAATCTATTATTCTTATTATACAGTATTTATATAGCGCCAAAGGATATGCTCAGCACTGTACAGTAGCAAGGGGGACATAACATGAGACAAGACAGTAACAATACACTACACGAGGGGTTCGAGGGCCCTGCTCTTTGGAGCTTACAATCTAGGACAGCGGTTCTCAACCTGGGGGTTGCGACCCCTTTGGGGGGTCGAACGTCACTTTCCCAGGGGTCGCCTAAGACCATCGGAAAACACATATTTCCGATGGCCTTAGGAACCGAGACACCGCTGCTCTATCCGTCTCCAGGTGTGGGCGGGATGACATGCCGTCCCTGTCATCTGGGCACACCCCTGGGATCAATCCTTCGCCGGTGATTGGCCGCCGGAACTGTAGCTCAGGAGAGGCACACGGGCGGCCAATCACCGGCGAGGAGGTGGAGCTTGGAGAGGAGGAGCCGAGCGGCACCGCGAAGATCGAGCGAGTGAAGAGGAGGAGAGCGGCCGGAGAAGGAAGACATCTGACCGGTAAGTGTCTGTACCATGGGAGAGGGAGGGAGCGAGCGAGCCCAGGCTGGAGCAGGGGTCAGCAAGGTAAGTATCATTGGTGTCAGTGGGAGGAATAGTGCCCCATCATTGGTGTCACTAATACCAATGATGGGGCACTATTCCTCCCCCCACTGACACCAACGATGGGGCACTATTCCTCCCCCCACTGACACCAACGATGGGGCACTATTGCTCCCACTGACACCTATGATGGGGCACTATTGCTCCCACTGACACCTGATGGGGCACTAATCCCCCCACTGACACCAATGATGGGGCACTATTCCCCCCACTGACACCTATGATGGGGCACTATTCCCCCCACTGACACCTATGATGGGGCACTATTCCTCCCCCCACTGACACCAATGATGGGGCACTATCTCCCCCACTGACACCAATGATGGGGCACTATTCCCCCCACTGACACCAATGATGGGGCACTATTCCCCCCACTGACACCAATGATGGGGCACTATTCCTCCCCCCACTGACACCAACGATGGGGCACTATTGCTCCCCCCACTGACACCAACGATGGGGCACTATTGCTCCCACTGACACCTATGATGGGGCACTATTGCTCCCACTGACACCAATGATGGGGCACTAATCCCCCCCCACTGACACCAATGATGGGGCACTATTTCCCCCCACTGACACCTATGATGGGGCACTATTCCCCCCACTGACACCTATGATGGGGCACTATTCCTCCCACTGACACCAATGATGGGGCACTATTCCCCCCACTGACACCAATGATGGGGCACTATCCCCCCACTGACACCAATGATGGGGCACTATTCCCCCCACTGACACCAATGATGGGGCACTATTCCTCCCCCCACTGACACCAACGATGGGGCACTATTCCTCCCCTCACTGACACCAACGATGGGGCACTATTCCTCCCCCACTGACACCAACGATGGGGCACTATTTGCTCCCACTGACACCTATGATGGGGCACTATTGCTCCCACTGACACCAATGATGGGGCACTAATCCCCCCACTGACACCAATGATGGGGCACTATTCCCCCCACTGACACCTATGATGGGGCACTATTCCCCCCACTGACACCTATGATGGGGCACTATTCCTCCCACTGACACCAATGATGGGGCACTATTCCCCCCACTGACACCAATGATGGGGCACTATTCCTCCCACTGACACCAATGATGGGGCACTATTCCTCCCACTGACACCAGTGTAGGGGCACTATTCCTCCCACTGACACCAGTGTTGGGGCACTATTCCTCCCACTGACACCAGTGATGGGGACACTATTCCTCCCACTGACACCAGTGATGGGGCACTATTCCTCCCCACTGACACCAGTGATGGGGCACTATTCCCCCCACTGACACCAATGATGGGGCACTATTCCCCCCACTGACACCAATGATGGGGCACTATTCCCCCCACTGACACCTATGATGGGGCACTATTCCCCCACTGACACCAATGATGGGGCACTATTCCCCCCACTGACACCAATGATGGGGCACTATTTCCTCCCACTGACACCAATGATGGGGCACTATTCCTCCCACTGACACCAATGATGGGGCACTATTCCTCCCACTGACACCAATGATGGGGCACTATTCCTCCCACTGACACCAATGATGGGGCACTATTCCTCCCACTGACACCTGTGATGGGGCACTATTCCTCCCACTGACACCTGTGATGGGGCACTATTCCTCCCACTGACACCAATGATGGGGCACTATTCCTCCCACTGACACCAATGATGGGGCACTATTCCTCCCACTGACACCTGTGATGGGGCACTATTCCTCCCACTGACACCTGTGATGGGGCACTATTCCTCCCACTGACACCTGTGATGGGGCACTATTCCTCCCACTGACACCTGTGATGGGGCACTATTCCTCCCACTGACACCTGTGATGGGGCACTATTCCTCCCACTGACACCAATGATGGGGCACTATTCCTCCCACTGACACCTGTGATGGGGCACTATTCCTCCCACTGACACCTGTGATGGGGCACTATTCCTCCCACTGACACCTGTGTTGGGGCACTATTCCTCCCACTGACACCAGTGATGGGGCACTATTCCCCCCACTGACACCAGTGATGGGGCACTATTCCCCCCACTGACACCAATGATGGGGCACTATTCCTCCCACTGACACCAATGATGGGGCACTATTCCTCCCCCCACTGACACCAATGATGGGGCACTATTCCTCCCCCCACTGACACCAATGATGGGGCACTATTCCTCCCCCCACTGACACCAATGATGGGGCACTATTCCTCCCACTGACACCTATGATGGGGCACTATTCCTCCCACTGACACCAATGATGGGGCACTATTCCTACCACTGACACCAATGATGGGGCACTATTCCTCCCACTGACACCTATGATGGGGCACTATTCCTCCCACTGACACCAATGATGGGACACTATTCCTCCCACTGACACCAATGACGTGGCACTACTCCTCCCACTGCAAAATTACAGTTATGAAGTAGCAACGAAAATAATTTTATGGTTGGGGGTCACCACAACATGAGGAACTGTATTAAGGGGTCGCGGCATTAGAAAGGTTGAGAACCACTGATCTAGGAGAAGTACTTCTGACTGCCAGTTGGAGGATGATTGGGCAAATTAGAATAAGCAATTTCAGTGCAGGAGGAGAGCCTGCACAACTGTGCAAGACTGAAGGGAAGAAACCTTAGCTTTGTGAGAATATACAAGATGCTTGCTATTACCTTTGTTAAAAAAAAGTCACCTCTGTGCTAGTTTCAGTTTGTTACTGGGTCCTGACTTTTCCTTACTTATTAACTTATGCCCCGTATACACGATAAGAAAATAGTATGAAAAAGTTCGCCAAAACCACTGATCGAATGATTTTCTCTTTGTTGATAAGCCGGATGTTTTAACCGATAACGATATTGTGAACGAAAAAATCCGGTTGAACAACAGTGAAAAATGTTGTCGTTTTGCATACGATCGACCGATTTTCTATGTGTTGGTATGACGGTCGTACGAGAAAAATCTATCAAGCGCTGTCACGCATGAGTGGAAACAGAAGATGACCCGGATGTTTATGTCCAAGGAATCTTCATAAACACGAGCAAAAAATCCAAATGTTAAGAGTAGATTGGCCGAATGAGATAATGAAACCAGAATCCTGCAGATTATATTTTATGTATTACTATTTATGTATATAGGTCATGTAATAAACTGTATTATACTCATTGCTGGTAATTGTTGTGTATATCGCTCGTTCTGGCCGGAAGGGCGTGGCTACAAGGTCACATGCACACTGCATCACTTCCACTTGTACGGAAGACATCAACACTACGTATTGCCCGACGATGATTTTTTTAGATTGGTTAATGTGGGCCACGATTTCGACCAACGAACGAACGCCTGATTTTCAGTTGATTTTCTAATCGTGTATTCCCACTTTAAGACCTGGCAAACCTGTATAGTGAAATTGTCCTCCTGTCCACTTAGGTGCCCTCATTTGGAAATGGATAGTAGTTGTCAGGGTTTATGGACTAACACGGACATATGGATGAATGGATGGATACTCATATTTATTTATTTTTGAACTTGAACGGCTCACCCTCTGACGATGTGCGTGGCACGTAACGCGTAAGGAGGACCCTGCTCGTGCCGTTGACGTCACGCCGTCGGAGCATCGTGGAGCTCCGGCAGCCATTTCCTTCTAGGGACGGTTAGTGTTTATGTTGCTATCTGCCGTTCCTATTGATATCCATGGGTTAAGTTTGTTTCACTCTCAGATTTCACATTTAATTGATTTCATAGTCATAATTGGCATTTGTTAGCGTCGTTCTTCAGCTGTAGTATTTTGCGAGGGTTCAATGACTTTGTGTGCTGCAGCTTTATTCGTATTAACATATTGGTGAGCGCGAGGGATCTTGTTTATTGAGCTGTCAGGGTTTAGCCATGGTAGCCATAGTTAGGGAAATCAGGCCCCAGTAACAAAGTGACACTTAATCAGAGGAGGGCACAAAACAAGCTGTTCTGGCTTGTAATATCGGGCATTTTGCAGTATCTGCTCCTTGGTAGAGCATTTTACTTTTACAAAAGAGCAGAAGTTCATTTTAATAATTAAATGTGAGCTGATATCCAACTGGTCCTACAGACAGCCCAACGTTTTGTTTTTATATTTTCAAATCAAGTTGCACTGTAACGTACTATATATATATATAATGCACCATGCATATAATCTTTCTTCTTGTAGTGAACCAAAGCTGTGACATCCGGTACGTTCAGCTGAGAAAGTGGCTGAAGAACAGGGGCTTCCGTGAGAGCCAGCTGAGGGCAGTACATTTTCCAGGTAAAATTTTCAGATGCACTTAGGGCTGGTTTACACCATAGAAATGCAGTCCTGATACATTCTGGATGCATTTCTGTATGCATGGTTTTGATTTTGCCCTACTATCCCTCTTGTATTGAACTGTATTGTTGCTGTATTGTCTCCCGTTATATTGTAAAGCGCTGAACAAACTGTTGGCGCTATATAAATCCTGTATAATAATAATAATGTGTTCTGGTTCATTTTTTCCCCCCTCTCTTTTTCTTCCACATGTGTGTTTTTGGTGCATTCCGGATGTGTTTTACTGCGTTCCAGTATAGTTCAGTGCAGAAAAAATGCAGCATGTTCTATTTTTTTTTTTTTCCCTGGAACTAACCACACTGGTGTGAACTATGCCATTGGAAACCATGTAACCTACTATCAATGCATTTTTGATGCAGAAAAAAAAACGCGCAATTCCACTTTTGTTGAGAAAAAACATTCCCTTCTGGGTGATCTATATACATTGCAAGATTTTGCCACACTTTGGTGCAGAGATTCCTACCTTTTTTAACCCTAGGTTCACATCTAAGCATTTTCTGCAGTGTTTTGCAGAAACGCCGTACAGTCCATTTAACATGATTTCCTATGGGACATGTTCACACCTGTGCGTTTTCACCCGGTGTGTTTTTTGGAAAGGGTCATGGACTTTTTTAAACGCAAAAAGTTGCATTTTTGTTTCTATAAAATTCAATAGAAATGCTGCAGAAAAGCATGTATTGATTTTTTTTATGCATTTTGCGTTTTAAATCTGCCTAGCAACAAGAAAAATTAGGAAAAAAACAAACAAACCGCAAAACGCGGCAAAAACGGCTCAAGCACAGCCTGCATAGGTGTGAACCTAGCCTTATTCTGAAGTAAGAGATGGATGTTTGCCTTTGTTCATGTGCACAATGAATGGGAGCGGTTCCTAGTTCCTAATCAATCAGCTGCTGCACTTGCAGGGCTCTAATGAGGAAAATTGCTGGGTCTGTATCCCTTTTAGATGGGATTTCCCTTCAGAAGTATCACACCAAAAATGGTGTGATGTCTAAAATCTGACTTGTATCTGCAGATTTTTGGGAAAATCAGTGAGCCAATCACACAAGCAGGAAATGATGCTACTGGGGGCTGTTCTGTACACATTCTGTGTACAGAACACCTCCAAGTTGGCATTATTGTATTTTACAGAAAATTACAGAGCTTATGATTGAAAAGGAAAGTTAATTTTTAATAAAATTCAATTACAATATGACTTGTGTCACAATTGTATATGCTATAATATAATTTTTTTTTATTTGCTATTTTTTTCCCACGAAAGTGGAGTTACCCATTAAGTCGAAATTACAAAAGGAAGCCTTTAGGTGTTGCAGCATGGCCATGAGAGGGGTGGACTTAAAGTGAACCTGCACTTTTCTTATGCAGGGCAAACAACGGGTTCTCTTTAATGCCACCCTCCTCAGCAACACATACTCACCTTTGCTTTGCTCCCCCCACTGTACTGCTCAAACTATGATGTTCAGAAAAAAATATGACTGTTTTGTTAAATCTATCCATGTGAAACCTCTCATATCATGGCATTTATTTTTTTTTAATTTTCCTCTTTTAGATACAGGTAGGGGCCTGATGACAACACATCTACTGCAGGTAAGGTTAATATCGTCATACTACTTGTAAGATGTTGTATCTGTTTTATTTTTTTAATATACAGTATATGTACATTATATGACCAAATTTATGTACATACCCTTTTAATTTATTAAGTTCAGGTGCACACAGCCAGCTCCATAATGGCATGGTTTGTTGAGTTTGATGTGGAGAAACGCAAGGTGACCTGGACAGAGTCCTGACCTTGACGCTACTGAACACCTTTTGGGGTGAATTGTGGAGCGAATTTTGGAGCTTAGTGTTCTAGGCCAATTTCAGTACTCGCCCTCACAAATGTCGATTTGGCTGAATACACACAAATTCCCACAGATATATAATTGTGGAAAGCTTTCCCTAGAGTCAAAGATGCCTTAGCCACAAAGGTAGGGGAGAGTGGTCAACCATGGCCATGGTAGTCTCCATATTGGCCATTTAGTATATATCCGTGTACTGTTTATGTGTGTGTTTCTATATATATATACATATACATACCAGGGCGGACTGACCATTAGGGAACTCGGGCAGGGCCCGGGGTCAGTAGGGGGCCCCATGAGATGCCCCTGGTACCTTTTTCATAGGCTTTTTTGAGTTTGGGCAAGGACACAGGGGCCCCATGATCCCCTTTTGCCCGGGGGCCCCATGAAATGTCAGCCCACCCCTGTGTATGTGTGTGTATATATATATATATGTATATATAAAAGGTATGCTTATACACAGTACATTCAGTAAAATAGTAGTGATTCTGCGTTAAAATGTTCACTTGTGTTCTCCAGCCTAGAAATATAAATTAAAATTCACCTGCTACAAATGCTGTGGCTGCTGACTTTTATTATTAGGACACTTGCCTGTCCAGGAATCCAGCGTGGTCCTTGCCTAATCTGGCTCTTCAGCAGTTTTCGGGTCCAGACATCGGTATATTTACTTTGGGAAGCCGCCTGTGACTGCTTGTGGAGTCACAGCCGGCTTCCCACTGCGCTTTTGCAAGCCGCGCTGCGCTTTGTGAATGGTCCCACAGCTTTTTGGGACCTGTGATGTGCCTCAGAAGGCTGCAGGGGAAGGAGATGGGGAGAGCGATCTGACCGAAAGTGAAAGGAGGTACTTGTCAAAACAAGGTACCCCGCTCACCCCCAAAAAAGAAACAGGTGCCAAAACTTAAAGGGGGGGGGGGGGGGAGTGGAGGTAGACAAGTAGAACTTCCCTTTTTGGGTGAAGTTCCACTTTATTCTGATCAATTCATGATCTTATACCAATCATATCTGATAACAGTCTAAGAATTTAGAGCATTTTTCAGCTATGTTCTTATTCCTTTGAGTTAAAAGGAAAAGATTTAGGTGTTTTCTATTGTTTTGAAGTATGTGGTATGATGTACTGAATGATCTTTTTTCTTGTTCAGTAATGTTTATTAATAAGATTTTTAATACAAACACAATAAAGGCAAAGCCCAAAATGTTTTTCAATAGAACAATCTTTTTACAGTTCGGTATTTTACTACATGCAGGGGAAAATTTGTAATGATGATGTCTTAAAACATAATTCTATAATGACGGTCAAATAAAAAAAAGAGACAGTAAAAACATATTTAAACGAAATATGATTCCAAATGTACAACCTTCCAATCAGAAAAAGAAATGCAGCTACAGAGACAGTGTTTTTTTTTTTTTTACTAAAGCTGCAGAGTGCAAAATATTTGAAAAGTGTGGCGTGCATTTGTATTCAGCCCCCTTTACTTTGATACCCGTAACTAAATTCTAGTGGAACCAATTGCCTTCAGAAGTCACTTAATTAGTAAATAGAGTCCACCTGTGTGCAATTTAATCTCAGTTTAATCACAGCTGTTATGTGAAGCCCTCAGAAGTTTGTTAGAGAAGATTAGTGAACAAACAGCATCATGAAGGCCAAGGAACACACCAGACAGGTCAGGGATAAAATTGTGGAGGGGTTTAAAGCAGGGTTAGGTTATAAAAAAAATCTCCCAAGCTTTGAACATCTAACGAAGCACTGTTCAATCCCTCATCTGAAAATGGAAAGAGTATGGCACAACTGCAAACCTACCAAGACATGGCCGTCCACCTAAACTGACAGGCCGGGCAAGGAGAGCATTAATCAGAGAAGCAGCCAAGAGGCCCATGGTAACTATGGAGGAGCTGCAGAGATCCACAGCCCAGGGGGGAGAATCTGTCCACAGGACAACTATTGGTCGTGCACTCCATAAATCTGGCCTTTATGGAAGAGTGGCAAGAAGCAAGCCATTGTTGAAAGAAAGCCACAAGAATTCCTATTTGCAGTTTGCGTGAAGCCATGTGGGGGACACAACAAACGTGGAAGAAGGTGCTCTGGTCAGATGAGACCAAAATTTAACTTTTTGGACTAAAAGGAAAAGGCTATGTGTGGCGGAAAACTAACACTGCACATCACCCTGAACACACCATCCCCACTGTGAAACGTGGTGGGCAGCATCATGTTGTGGAGATGCTTTTCTTCAGCAGGGACAGGGATGCTGGTCAGAGTTGATGGGAAGATGGATGGAGCTAAACACAGGGAAATCTTAAAAGAAAACCTGTTAGAGTCTGCAGCAGACTTAAAATGGGGCGGAGGTTCACCTTCCAGCACGACAACGACCCTAAGCATACAGCCAGAGCTACAATGGAATGGTTTAGATCAAAGCATATTCATGTGTTAGAATGGCCCAGTCAAAGCCCAGACCTAAATCTAGTTAATAATTTGAGGCAAGACTTGAAAATTGTTGTTCAAAGCAGGTAGAGACATCCCCAAAAAGACTTGCAGCTGTAATGGCAATGAAAGGTGGTTCTACAAAGTATTGACTCCGGGGGGCTGAATACAAATGCACGCCACACTTTTCACATATTTATTTGTATAATGTTGAAAACCATTTATCATTTTCCTTCCAGTTCACAATTATGTGCCACTTTGTGTTGGTCTAATACATAAAATCCCAATAAAACACCTTTACTTTTTTTGTTGTAACATGACAAAATGTGGACAAAATTTCAAGGGGTATGAATACTTTTTTAAGGCACTGTAGTTGTGTTTCCCCATTCCTGTGGGGGAAATAAAATGATTACTAATTATTCACTCTGGAAACTCCTTCAATAATTGGAACTTATGTTTGGACATGCTTATTATTGATCTTTTCTTATCCACCTACATTCCCCGCTTGTTAGCAGTGCTCAAATTAGTCACACACAGGGGCGGACTGACAATTCATGGGGCCCGCGGGAAATAGGGGATCATGGGGCCCCTGCGTCCTTTCCCAAACTCAAAAAAGCTTATGAAAAAGGTACCAGGGGCATCACATGGGGCCCCCTACTGACCCCGGGCCCTCGGGCAGTGCCCGAGTTTCCAAATGGTCAGTCTGCCCTGGTCACACACCTTCATTTCTAGAATGATGATTGAAAAAAGGACCATTGTAATGGTGATTAAGAACCATTAGGAATTAGGACCTTTTTAAACTACACCTTTGAATAAATGCATCAAAAATGCATATGCTACATTTCCAGTGCGTTTTCTGGGTTCCTATTACCCAGTATGCACCTGTGAAAGTTGGGCATGTGACTGAAAAAATACACCAAAAGTGCAACGCATTTTTGCTGCGTTTTTGGTGCATTTTCTATTACTTGCATAGGGATTTGCATGTTTTGTGCAGTTTCAAAAACCGCACCAAAGATGCTGCAAGCAGGACCTTTTAAAATGCACCACACCCTCAGCACAGCGGTGTGAAGAGCCCCATAGGATTTAAAGGGAAACATTTTTCCTGTGTTTTTTAGCAAGGTAAAAATGCAGCAAAAACATTTAAGTGTGAAAGGGCCCTTAGAATGCTCTGTAAAAATAAAGATCACAATGAACCTTAAACAGACATTTTTATATGCTAAACTTTGACAAAGGAAGCGAAGATGGCTTATACAATCTCAGCCAATCTCTTTGTCTCTTCTCAGCCAGGGGATCTGATCATTTCCTTACCGGAGTCCTGTCTACTTACCACGGACACCGTCCTGGAAAGCTACCTTGGGAATTATATCAGAAGGTTGGTATTACAATGGAAAGCCTTCTGTTTTTTTTAAATTCCTTGAAAATTTTACATTTCAGTTTTTCAGTGTGCAAAGCCCCACCTCCTCAGTGTAAATGTGCGGCTGCAGCTGGTGAGAGTGAAATTTCTCTCCATCCGCAACTAGAGCAGTGGATGCCGACTGGTGACATCAATGTTCTATAGGTCTGTCTGCACATTTGTGCTGAGGAGTTGGAGCTTTGCGGCTTCCAAAAAAAGAAAAAAAGGCATTTATGTAGCAATAAAACAAAAAATAATGTGGCGCTACTACCATATAATTTCTTCACATATTAATACACTGAATTTGCATAAATATAAGTGAAATAGTGCAAATGAGTGAAAAAAGACCAATCAACAATACATAAACCGTGATGGACGACAGTGTAAAGTTAACTCACACAATAACACATGTAACAAGTGCCAGCCAACAGGTCCAAAATTAGGGACCAAACTTAGGATAATAGTCCTCAAAATGATCCTATTGGATCTAATAGTGATCAACAAACAACATAAAAAAGTCCCAAAAGGGATTCAGCATAAATATGTGCTGCAAAACCTCCCACCAGAACAAATAAATTATTCCAACCACACATAACAAAAAAAATCACAAGTGCATTCCAAAAAACATAATTGTGTCTATTCATGCAAAATATTACATATATAAACGCATAATAAAACAGATAATATAGTAAAAAAAAAGTCCTGTGAAGTGAAAAGACACCTATCAGCAATCTACAAAATAAAGTCCACATAAATTGTTTGAACACAAAGTGATAACAGGTGTGCGAAGATATCCAAAATGGCTGAATTGCCTGCTCACTTCCCTCTTGCGACCCACACAGGGTCAAAGAGCCTTTAGGATCACTAATAACTGGATCCTTAATACTCGGGACTCCTGCACAGCTCTCCACACTGGTCTCCTCTCAAGCACAGGCTCAAATACAGGCTCACAGGACAGCAGATCTCCTTCCAGGCATTTATACAGCAATGTATACAGGGTAATGGAAAGCATCATTTTAGGCTGGGTTCCTGTGCAAATCAGATACGATTTGTGTGCGGTGCAATTGGAGCCGTACATTTTGTATAGCTCAAATCGCACAGCACCCGCACTAAAAAGGTTCAGGATCCTTTTTTTGGGTCCGCACTAGAATCAGATCGCATGGGTATTCACACCTATGCAATCCGATTCTGCACATCGCGCCGCGTTTTGCGGACCAATTTCGGGGTGTTGTTAACTTAACATACACACACGCAGCGGTTCGCATGAACAGGGTGCGATTCTGATGCGGTGCGGAATTCTCACAGAAAATGCTGCAAATTCGCACCGCATCAGTTTGAACCCAGCTTTAAAGTATGTTTATTGTTTGGCCTTTCCTGCTTTCCTGCTTTAACCCTGTTTACATAATTTTCCCCATACACTTTCTTAAATCAGTTTACTGCAAGAGTCTTAAGCTGGTGCTATTTTTTTTTCCTGCATCCATGGGTTTTTAGTCACTCGATTCCCCCATCAACACGGTCATTGTTGCAAGGAGAATAGCTCCCCTCGGAGCTATTGTGATCTCCTGGCGAGCGGGGGGGGGGGGGTTTTGGTGTCTGTCCTGGCCAGGTGGAGAACACACAATCATTAATAAATAATACAAAAAAGTGTAGTGCTACCTCATTTTTTCCAATATATGTGAATTTTGGTGGAAGCCTCCTGATTATGAGTAACTCCTTCACTGACGGGAATAATGGTGGAAAACTCCTATACAAAAAATCAGCTTATCACTCCTTTTTTAATGATATATTGAACCACAATACATGAAAAGTTGTCAAAAAATAAATACGAATAAATTCCTATACCATACACTTTGCTATTGTGTTTTTATACTGCAGAATAACATAAAATACATAGTGCTACCTGAATATTAATATCGTAACACGAATATTTCAACAACATATAGTGCATATAGTAAAATAGGGGTGTAAACCTCCTGATTATGAGTAACTTTACTGATACGTGAATAATGGTGGAAACCTCCTATCCATCATTATTCATGTATTGTAGTTCAATATTTTATTGATAATAGGAGTGATAAGCTGATATTTTGTATAGGAGGTTTCCACCACTATTCACACATTGAAAAAATTGAGGTAGAACTACACCTTTTGTATTACTTGGTTCAGTAAGTGTTGAGCAGCAAGTCCAGTAATATAACAGTCTAATGCTTTAAACTTTTCATAGGCGCATGGCGATACTTGTACATATATAGATTTACACAGTGATTATTGCTAACAGCCATAGCTGCCAGCAGTAATTGGAAGAATCTGACAGGTTGGGGGGATCGATCAAATTGGGTACATTCAGCCTGCCCATAGATAGAATCTTGGCTGGTCACTGCTGAACTGGCAAAGATTCGAACTGTCTAAGGCCGGCATTAGGCCCCTTCCACATGGGGACGTCCAGCAGCTGTGCATCCCTCCTAGTGTTTTTAATGCGCCCAGGAGGGGACACGTGCAGCATCCAGCCTTGTTGCCTGCAGTTTAAGGCAGGCTGCAGCTGTCCAAGGAGCTCCTTGATTCCAAATTTAATCTGCAAATAGACCTGGGCTTTATTGCAGCCTGGAGCTCTACTCTTCCCTTCTGCCATTGTACAGCTTATCTTCTTTCCCCATGCCTGCCATTGCTATGCCTTCTGGCACTATGTATGACTTTACTCAAAAGTAAAAGTACATTTTAAAGTAGTAGTAAACCACAAAAAATTAAACAAAACTAAAAAATTCTCCCTGCAAGTTAAAAGCTAGTTTGCATCGCATACTAGCACATTATGAAAGACTTAACTGAAAAGAAGCCCTCCAGAGGAGTGCTGTCACTGCTCTTCAGGGCTTCCATCTTCCCCCGGTCTGTTGTCCGGGTTTGCAGGCTGCAGTCATTTGACTGGCCGAGCTGCAATGTTTTCACTCTTGCGCATGCGCATAGGAGTATTGGCATGGCACGGTAAGCCGCAAACAAAACAAAAAAAAAAAATCTTCTCCCTGCAAGTCAAAAGCATAGTGTGCTAGTATGCATTGCATACTGGCACATTATGAAAGACTTAACTGAAAAGAAGCCCTCTAGCGGAGTGCGGTCACGGCTTTCATTTTCACCCAGTCTTCTGTCCGGTTTCACAGGCTGCGGTCATTTGACTGGCCAGACTGCAATGTCATTGATCCTGCACATGCACGTAGGAGTATGGGCACGGCTCTCTCAATGGACGGCACGCCATCCATTTAGAGCGCAGTGCACATGTGCGGGTGACATCATCAGTGCTGCTAAAGTGAATAGCTCCTAAATGGTGCATGTTTAGAAGACATTTACTGTACCTGCAGGTAAGCTTTATTATCGGCTTACCTATAGGTATGAAAAAAACTGAACTGATCACTACCACTTTAAGCTGCTATCATTAAATAATTATATGTTTACTGAATATTTTGTCATTATTCTTAGGTGGTGTCCCCCTGTCTCCCCTATGTTGGCATTGTGCACTTTCTTAGTCACAGAGAGGTACGCTGGTGACCGCTCACTGTGGAAACCATATCTAGACGTACTGCCCAGCAGTTATGACTGCCCTGTATATTGGGATCCAGAAATAGTGACGCTCCTTCCAGAACCTGTCAGACAGAAAGCCGAGCAGCAGAGGAGCATCGTTCAGGAATTCTACTCTTCGCATGTGTTGTTCTTCAGATCGCTGCAGTCGTTGTTTCGGGAGAACCCAGAAAGCATCCTGAGCTATGACGCCATGCGCTGGGCCTGGTGCACAGTCAACACTCGTACAGTGTATATGAAACACGCACAGAGAGACTGCTTTTCTTCTGAACAGGATGTGTATGCATTGGCACCATTCTTAGATCTGCTGAATCACAGCCCTGGTGTGCAGGTAGGATCCCCAATATTTCCACAGCTTGTATACCAGGATTTTGTTCTCGTTTACCCATATCCCACACGTTAAGGATACGTCTACATTGGTGTCTCCTTTCATGCAAGTTTAACCACATGCTGGCCAGCCACTGTAGAAATACGGCGGCAGGGCGGCACGGCTGGGCAAAAGCACGTTTTAAAACGTGTGTTTTGAAAACAGGTAGGGGGCGTGTGCGAGGCGCGCCGCTGCCCTACCTGTCCCGCCGATCACAGCCATGGATGTCATTCGCCGGGTCACAGCCGGTCGTTACCGGCTATGTCCCGGCAATCGGCGGCAATCGCTGACAGAGAGCACAGCTGCAGTAGCTGTGCTTTCTGTCAGTTCCCTGACAGCTCCAGGACACGCTGATCGGGACAGAAGAGTTTCTCTCTCCCGATCAGCAGTGTTCCCTGCAGTACACACCCCCGCCCCCTAGTAAAAAAACGCACCTCACACAGTTAACCCTTTCACTGAATAATAAAGTTAACCCCTTCCTCCCCAGTGCCATTAGTACAGTGTCAGTGTTTTTTTTTTTTGCACTGATCACTGTATTGGTGTCACTGGGGATGTCAGTGACCCCAAGTCAGTACCCCCCAATGTCAGAATGTCCGCCGCATTCCTGCAGTCCTGCCATAAGTTGCTGATCGCCGCCATAAGTCGCTGATCGCCGCCATTATTAGTATAAAAAAAAACTAAAAATCCCAGTATCTTTCCCGCCATTTGTAAACGCTATAACTTTCACGTAAACCAATTAATTTACACGTATTGTTTTTTTTTTTTTAACAAAGACATGTCGCAGAATGCATTTTGGCAGAAATTTATGACTAATTTTGATTTTTAAATTTTTTTTTACTGGACGTGTTTTATAGCAAAAAGTCCAAAATATTGTTTTTTTTCCTTTAAAATTGTCAGACTTTTTTTTTTATAGCACAAAAATAAAAACCGCACAGGTGATCAAATACCACCGAAAGAAAGCTCAATTTGTGGGAAAAAAAAGGATGTAAATTTCATTTATGTACCGTAGTGCATGACCGCTCAATTGTCCATTAAACTAGCGCAGCGCTGTATAGCAGAAAAATGGCGTAAATTGCAGTATTTATACCATAGTTTGTAGACGCTATAACTTTCACACAAAGCAATCAATATACACTTTTTTTTTTTTACCAAAAACATGGAGCAGAATACATTTTGGCCTAAAATTTATAATCAACTTTGAGTTTACTATATATTTTTTATAGCTGAAAGTAAAAAAATATTGTTTTTCTTCAAAATTTTTGTTTTTTTTTGTTTATAGCGTGAAAAATAAAAAGCGCACAGGTGATCAAATACCACCGAAAGAAAGCTCTATTTGTGTGAAAAAAAAGGACGTAAATTTCATTTGGGTGCAGCATTGCATGACCGCACAATTATCAGTTGAATTAGTGCAGCGCCGAGTAGCAAAAAGAGGCCTGGTCATTAAGGGGGGTAAATCCTCTGGAGCTCAAGTGGTTAAAAAGCAGTCATGATATACAGTATAAGAGTACGGTGACCACCCAGATATCATCCGTACTCAGTGAAGTGAAATCTTCTATAACATTTTAAAAAAAAAGTCTGCCCTCACTTTCTATTCTTTTTTTTTTTTCCCTCTGGCTGGCCATTCTGGGGGGGGGTTAATGCAGTGCCGCCGGCAGCAGCTGCAGGGGGAAGGGGGCCCCTTTGTACATCACCGGAGTCCCCATTGCTACTGGGAGATCACACCGAGGAGGACAAGAGATGAAGCCACCCTCCAGCATAGAGCTGGGACAACTGTCCCGCCTTCGTTTTCCTTTGTCCTTCTCCGCCTGGCCTCAGACCTGCCACCATCACTTCTCAGCTCCGGCCTGTATCACGGCTCACACCCCCTCACCTCCCGGAACCGTCCTATACTCAGCTCCGCTCAGCACTCCTTACCCTCACTTTCAATGACATCAGCTGATATCAACTTTATTGTTCTGTACAAAAGGTACGCTTTCCCTGAGCCTCCTTAACCAAGATATAGAATTCTATGACTAAGCCCTGTCTGGATGAAAAAAGTTAGAGTGCCGAGTGCCTGGGTGGACTTTCTCTGTTGTTTGTATGGAACAATAAAGATGATTTTACCTGAGATCATTGGAAGTGCGGCCAGACGTTTTGCTTGTACAGAGCATGGAACACCTCCATTCCACCAACACCATGCTCTCACGTGGGCAGATACTGGTCTGAAGAGTGGCAGTTTTCTTTGCTTATTCTTTGCACATTACAGTTAGTCTTTTTGGTGCCCTTATTATATTATTTAATTATTTATTTATATTATGGAGTATTTTGTAGAGTATTTTGTCACATGGGATGAGACTCTCTCACGAGGGACTGCTGCAGGTACAAAGTTCAGGTGTCTAGAGGTGCACATACCTTCAGCAGCCTTCCAAACCTTCCTGCCTTCAAGATCTTGTGACGGGGAAAGGTACTTAATTTACTTTCTATAACTTGTTCCATTCAGGTGGAAGCCGCATTTAATGACGAGATTCGACGTTATGAGATTAGGACTAAAGTGCAGTATAGGAAGTACGACCAAGTGTTTATTTGCTATGGACCCCATGATAATCATCGGCTTCTGCTAGAATATGGATTTGTGGCAGCTAATAATCCCCATCAGAGTGTCTATGTGACTACAGGTAAGTGTATGCTAGGGCTGGATTTTCTGCCCAAAAAAAAAACAACACGGAGGGTGGATTTAATAAAGGCAAGGGACTTTAAAATTTTGAAGTTCAGTTGCACTCATTTTCCCCAAAGCTTAGCGAATGCGGTAAAGCTCTGCTGATTTCCATCAACCAATCATGTACAAGCAAAAATACTGTTTTTTTTTTTTTATTTTCCTTGCATCTATTTGGGTATTCTTTACAAATTGAAGCTTCACCACATTCACTAAGCTCTGGGGAAAATGAGTGCAACTGCATTACCAATGTGCACAGTCTGTTTTGCTTTAGTAAATCCATCCTAAGTAGTCATTGGTGTACAAAACCTGCAGGCCTGTGTAATTGTAACCTGTAGTAGCCAATCAGGTTCCTGTTTTCTCAGTGCAAGTTAGAGCTTCCCAATCTATATCTGCCATATGGCCTGCTTTGAATAGCGGATAGGTTTGCTGACTGTGCTTGCTTCTCTGCCCATCTGAAAATTTTGGGTGTGTGATTGTGTGGTCTTTGATCAGGATAGCCAGATCGCTTAGTAGATGGAACAACACCTAGTCGAAACTTCTATCTCACTTGATATTTGCTTAAAAACGTAATTCATTAACTTTATCTGCCCTTGATAGAGAAGCCTTGGAAAAGCCATTGACCTTGGAAGACTTACAATTTGCTGCTGCTAGTGTTCCTAATAATAAATCCCTTGGAGCTGATGGCCTACCAGGAGAAGTGTATAAAACTTACGGGGAAGTCCTTTTATCAGAATTGTTAAAGGTATTTAAGGCTGCCTTTGATACTGGGTTTCTCCCTCCCTCTGTGAATGAGGCTGTCGTCATTGTAATACTTAAGCCTGGCAAAAACCCCAAAAGCCCTGACTCTTATCGTTGGATTTCTTTACTTACCGTTGACGTTAGGCTTCTGGCAAAAATACTAGTTACACAACTGCTGAAATATATTGCCAAGATAGTTCACCCAGACCAGTCCGGTTTTATCCCAAATAGGTCAACTGCCATGAATATCAGGAAATTATTCCTGAATCTGCAAATTCTAACTGATAACATTGGTAATAGGGATATATTGTACCTTGATGCGGCAAAAGCCTTTGACAGTATAGGCTGTGTTTTTTTTTTTCTGCACTGTCTATGGAAATTTGGGTTTGAGTCCCAATTTTTACAATGGTTGCAGCTTTTTTATGCAGCCCCAATAGCTAGGATGCAGGTTATCGGCCATATTTCAGACTCCTTTCCATTACAACGGGGCACAAGACATGGATGCCCTCTGTCACCTCTCCGTTATGCTCTTGCCATGGAACTCTTAGCAGCCGCCATTTGTCGATCCCCAGACATTATTGGGATTTGTAGGTCCACGGGGGAATGATAGCGTTGTACGCTGATGATACCCTGTTTTTTCTGGGAGATACTTTATCCTCACTAGCTGTAGTTATTTCCCTTATTATCACATATGGTTCCTACTCCAGTTTACTATTAATTGGGACAAATCGGTCCTTTTACCGTTTGACCCTCTTTCAGTACAGTTGCCCTCCAATGCCACACAAAAATCAGTCGTGTCCTCATCTAAATATTTAGGAGTCTTTGTCACCCCTCAATTGACTGATGACAGGGAGCAGAATCTGGATCCCATACTCCCTAGGTTAAATTGCCCCAATAGTAATAGGCAGAGGCAATTTAGTGAAGATGGTATGGATGCCACAGATACTGTATCTTTTGCATAATTGCCCATGTGGCTTCCTCAAAGCTTTTTTCAAAGAGAACATTTAATTCAGATCTGCGGCTTTTGAAACGGTTGACCACCCCCTCCTCCTCAAAAAACTACATTCTCTTGGCCTCAGAGACTCCGCTCTCTCCTGGTTCTCCTCCTATCTATTGCAGTGCTCCTTCAGTGTTACCTATAACGCTGCCACCTCCTCTTCACTCCCTCTCTCTGCTGGGGTCCCTCAAGGTTCTGTCCTCGGACCCCTTCTCTTCTCCATCTGCACCTCCTCCCTTGGCCAATTGATAAATTCCCACGGCTTCAATTACCATCTGTATGCTGACGACACACAAATCTATCTCTCTACCCCTCACCTCACCCCTTCAGTCTCCGCTCGTATCACAAGCCTACTAAATGACATATTGGATTGGATGTCAATCCACTTCCTCAAACTCAATCTTTCCAAAACTGAGCTTCTAGTATTCCCCCCAGCCCCGCGCCCCCCCCCCGACTTCTCCATCAAGACCAACAACACTATCATCAGTCCCTCCCCTGAAGCCAGAGTACTAGGTGTCATCCTAGACTCCAATCTGTCCTTTCAGCCCCAGGTCCAATCGCTGACAAACTCATGTAGACTTCACCTCCACAACATCTCCAAGATACAACCGTTTTTAACCTCGGAAACCACTAAGCACCTTATTCACTCCCTGGTTATATCTCGCCTTGACTACTGTAACTCCCTCCTTATTGGCCTACCTCACCGCAGGCTATCCCCAGTTCAGTCTATCATGAATGCTGCCGCCAGACTCATCCACCTTACAAACCGTTCCATATCTGCCACCCCTCTCTGCCAATCCCTCCACTGGCTTCCAATTGCCCAATGGATAAAATTCAAAACGCTAACACTGACGTATAAAGCCGTTCATAACACTGCCCCAAATTACATCACCGATCTTGTCTCTAAATATCACCCAAACCGTACTTTCCGCTCCTCACAAGACTCTCCTACTCTCTAGTTCCCTTGTCTCCTCCTCCCATGCTCGTCTCCAGGACTTCTCCAGGGCTTTCCCCATCCTCTGGAACTCCCTACCCCAATCCATCAGACTATTGCCCACTCTGCTCACTTTTAGGCGCACTCTGAAAACCTATCTCTTTAGGGAAGCCAACCCCGCCCTCAGCTAATACTGAAATCCTCTACTCTTCCAACCACTCCATCCCCCAGAGTTATTACCTCTTGTACCACTATCCCCTCCCTCCTAGATTGTAAGCTCCAAGGAGCAGGGCCTTCGAACCCCTCTTGTATTGAATTGTATTGTTACTGTACTGTCTCATGTATTGTCTCCCACCATAATGTAAAGCCCTGAGCAAACTGTTGGCGCTATATAAATCCTGTATAATAATAATAATCTCTTTATCTCCCTCGCAACACCTGAATCAGCTGTTCATAGTCCATAGAGTACATCCAACAGAAACTACAATCCTGGGGGAGGGTGGTATCTCCACAATGCCCTAGATGCACTACAGCCACAGGTACCCTTATGCACAATTTGTGGCGTTGCCCTAAACTCCATTGATACTGCAAGTCTATTTTTACAACCCTTAACGTACTTTGTTCCACACAGGTGTCGAAGGACCCTAAAATCACTCCCAGGGAATAATCCAGGAGGAAGTTCTTCTGGTTGAGCTGCATTTGATTTTGGCAAGATTCTTATACTTGGCTTGTAAACTAATTCTGCAGAAGTGGATCTCATTCACGCCTCTATCCCCCTCATTCTATGGCGCAATGCGCTTAATTTTAATTTAAGGAGGAAAGAGCTTATAAACATAGAGGATGCTCTAAAAAAATTCAATACCCAGAGCTGATGAGGGGAGCTAGATACCTGTTATGTCAATAGGATAAGCTAATTACTATCTTACTTTACCTGTAATGGCTATATTGTAGGAGCCCACAGGTAGAATACAGTGGGGCAAAAAAGTATTTAGTCAGCCACCAATTGTGCAAGTTCTCCCACTTAAAAAGATGAGAGAGGCCTGTAATTGGCATCATAGGTAGACCTCAACTATGAGAGACAAAATGAGAAAAAAAATCCAGACAATCACATTGGCTGATTTGGAAAGAATTTATTTGCAAATTATGGTGGAAAATAAGTATTTGGTCACCTACAAACAAGCAAGATTTCTGGCTCTCACAGACCTGTACCTTCTTCTTTAAGAGGCTCCTCTGCCCTGCACTCATTACCTGTATCAATGGCACCTGTTTGAACTTGTTATCAGTATAAAAGACACCTGTCCACAACCTCAAACAGTCACACTCCAAAATCCACTATGGTGAAGACTAAAGAGCTGTCGAAGGACAACAGAAACAAAATTGTAGACCTGCACCAGGCTGGGAAGACTGAATCTGCAATAGGCAAGCAGCTTGGTGTGAGCAAATCAACTGTGGGAGCAATAATTAGAAAATGGAAGACATACAAGACCACTGATAATCTCCCTCGATCTGGGGCTCCACGCAAGATCTCACCCCGTGGGGTCAAATGATCACAAGAACGGTGAGCAAAAATCCAGGACCACACGGGGCACCTAGTGAATGACCTGCAGAGAGCTGGGACCAAATGTAACAAAGGCTACCATCAGTAACACACTACGCTGCCAAGGACTCAGATCCTGCAGTGCCAGACGTGTCCCACTGCTTAAGCCAGTAAATGTCCGGGCCGTCTGAAGTTTGCTAGAGAGCATTTGGATGATCCAGAAGAGGATTGGGAAAATGTCATATGGTCAGATGAAACCAAAATAGAACTGTTTGGTAGAAACACAACTCGTCGTGTTTTGGAGGGAGAGAGAATGCTGAGTTGCATCCAAAGAACACCATACCTACTGTGAAGCATGGGGGTGGCAACATCATGCTTTGGGGGCTGTTTCCCCGCAAAGGGACCAGGATGACTGATCCATTTACAGGACAGAATGAATGGGTCCATGTATCGTGAGATTTTGAGTGCAAACCTCCTTCCATCAGCAAGGGCATTGAAGATGAAACGTGGCTGGGTCTTCCAACATGACAATGATCCCAAACATACCGCCCGGGTAATGAAGGAGTGGCTTCGTAAGAAGCATTTCAAGGTCCTGGAGTGGCCTAGCCAGTCTCCAGATCTCAACCCCATAGAAAACCTTTGGAGGGAGTTGAAAGTCCGTGTTGCCCAGCGACAGCCCCAAAACATCACTGCTCTAGAGGAGATCTGCATGGAGGAATGGGCCAACATACCAGCAACAGTGTGTGCCAACCTTGTGAAGACTTACAGGAAACGTTTGACCTCTGTCATTGCCAACAAAGGATATATAACAAAGTATTGAGATGAACTTTTCATATTGACCAAATACTTATTTTCCACCATAATTTTGCAAATAAATTCTTTCCAAATCAGCCAATGTG